CCTGCGTAATAGAATACTCAAAAAGTGTAGACAGTTTTCCCAGCAAATGCGCTATTGCCGCTCATCTTTATACCTAGCGACCTGCAATCAGTCTTGATTTCATCTCGGGTCAATTTATATAACTGTACGAATAGCGGTGTAACCGCGAAGGGAATAGCTATCGAACCTAACTTTGGTTAAAGCGTGATCTTCCCTTGAGTGACAGCTGTGTCGCGATATTGCTCACAAACTATTTGTACTGTAGACAGAGGTAATATAAGTGTCAAGGACATGACTCATAGTTAGTGACAATAACATAAACACGAAAAGAATCAACAAGTGGTCAATCACGTGACAGTGCTTCACGTGACAGCTGTGCGATTCAGGTGAAACACCATTATATTAGAATAAAGCATTTTAATTCTATCAAAAATCACAAGACTGTGACAGTTTAGTGAGAGAGCAGCATATGCCATATAGACTTCGTCCTATCAGCTAGCAATGGTGATGTATAATACACGTTCACAAAGTATGTTGGCCTTTGCCTTGGTAGTCCTTGCGTCAATGAGTTTGGTGATCTGCAGTGGTTCCCGGAAGCCTCATGTAGTGTTCATAGTAGCCGACGATCTGGGTAAGCCTCAAAGTTCAATGACATTTTATTCAGTTAACTATTATCGCTCAGGTTTAAATAACAGTTTGCTCAGGTTCGTCACCATCGTAAGATTCAAACGCTGAGATTCAAACTAAGTGTGTGATTTTACGAATAAGACAACATAAAGTCACAGCACTACATCAACAAACGTCGGAATGGCGAATGCTACTTATCCATCGTACTGTCTCCCCAAGGTGACAAAAACAACTTCAATGAAATACAGTGCGACGGGGGAACTAAATCTATTGTTCAGATAGTGGGGCCCTAGGCCCATTTGTATGAACCACGCCCCCTAAAATATGTTTGTTGACGCATGGTAAATGTTTTGGTATTTCTTGTAAGAAATATTCATAGTTTCCCTTTGAAATAATATATTGTATATCCTTGTAATGACCAACTTCGACTTCTGAGTATAATGTGCTAATAGTTCGTGTGTTTGTTTCTATCCTCTCGTAGGTTGGAATGATATCGGCTACAACAACCCCAGTATTTTTACACCGACTCTCGATAAATTGGCGAGAGAGGGCGTGATTCTCAACCAGTCGTACGTGCTTCCAATGTGCACCCCGTGAGTTTGCTATTCAAATACGATTATACATGTGTGCAATGACATATTTCATTTTGAAATAATTAAAATTCTAGTGCACGTGAGCTTTAAATCATCTATACTACAGGTAATTCGGAAACGCATGCTTACTGGATTTTTTGGTATTTCGCTGACAAATATTCTGTGAAAGTGTTGTAAATTTTTGGGATAAAGACACGTCTGGATGTATATAATGTTTTTTACGAAGGCCGAGTTCGGTTGAATTTTGTTGAAAGATTTAGCCTAATTTTTAGCAGTTTTGCAGTAATCTGAATCTCACAGCTTGTGTTTTTGTTGTGTTCAGTGAGGATTCATGATGGCCGCCCTATATAGTTAATAATGGTAAATTAGTTGCATTTATTATACTACCAGAAGAAAGTACCATTCACGCGTTCATAAACTTCCATAAACATATTTTAGTCGCAGTGATATTCTCTGGGTGCTTAATTAAAGTTCCGTTTAATATTTTAGAGACAGAGCGTCATTAATGAGTGGATACTATGCATATCGAGTTGGTCTTCAGGTAATTACGAAACTCGTCTACTGTGATATATGTCCGTTCTTTACAGTTATGTTATTTAGTCGTATTAATACTCATTATTCACACATATAGACTGGGAAGTAACAGAAGAAAGTTACAAAAATATCGACAGGATGAACTAAATGTGCAGTAATGATGAAACTGAAATAGATTCTAGCCATTTTCGTTTGATTGTCATTAGTTACTGACGTAAAGAGTTGAGGTCATTTTGTCTGGTATATTTTAGCACAAGGTATTGGACCACGCGGAACCGGCAGGATTGCCGCTTAATTTCACGTTGATACCACAACGAATGAAAGAACATGGATATACAACGTACATGCTTGGAAAGTGAGTTTTTCTTTTCACTCATTCATTCCTACAAGGCACACTTATTTGGTGGATTCCTTCATTAAGCAGACAATGATACTGATAAACGTTTTTTTATTGCATTGATTTAAGGTGGCATTTGGGGTTCTGTAAGTGGGAGTACACGCCGACCTACCGAGGGTTTGACCATTTCTACGGCTTTTATAACGCAGCTGAAGATTACTTCAATCACACAACTAGTAAGTGTCAATTTTATCAGCTGTATTTACTGTGACTGAAAACATTTATCAGATTGCCCACTTTCTTATGTATTTCTCTTATTGCAGGTAAATATCTCGATTTGAGAAACGGGAAAGAAGTTGATTGGTCCAAAAACGGAACTTACTCAACGGTAGATATAGTTTGTGCATACTATACCCCATTACCGTTGAGGTGTCAAACACACTAATTCTGATCACGAGATATGTCTTACGCGTAAATCATCCATAGTGTACCGTAAAGTTTGCAGATACAATTTCACATTGACTTCATCCTAATTCACGCTTGTAATAAGAGTACTTATGTTGTTTTCTGGCAAAAATCATTATTTCGTACTCAGAATTGCACAAATTGGGACTACCATTCGGACGCATAGATGCTCCCATCTGTAAAGGTCCTTTCCCAAGTGTGTCCCGCCCAGGCTTCCCAGGCTCCCTCCCCGTCAGTGAGCCCCTACTCCGTGTTTATTTAACTACAAGGAGCGTCTTTCCTTTCCAGTACATGTATGCCGAGAAGGCGACCGAATATATCGCAACTCATAATAAAAGTACTCCAATGTACATGTATCTGCCGTTTCAAAGCGTCCATGGAGTAATTGAGGTTAGTTGAAAATTATTCAAAAATATCATTTTATTAATATTCACAATGCCAATATAATGATATCCGCAAAACCATGAGTCGTTACATACATGTAATGTATCGAACGGCAGATCGGTCGTTCCAGTTAGCGTTCTGTCGGCACTAGAGATTAGAAAGTGTTATCACGTGTTTTTTGCATGTCACAAATTATCTCTCATTTTCAGGCCCCACAGAAATATTTAGATATGTATACGTTTATACATGACACCAACAGGAGAATCAAGTCCGGTAAGTGTCTGGTACTTTACGTATTATTCATTTGGTGCATAATCAGTAATACAATCATTAAGAATTTCCAATCGCTATTTTACATATTTAAGTAATAACTGTAGTTGTGTTAAGGTATAGACACCATTTATCATTACGTGTTGTATTATGTTCAGTCGTCTTATTTCATTGACTTATCAGCTATGGTGACTGCTATGGACGACGCTGTTAAAGTTGTAATTGCCGCGTTAGAACGCTATGAACTGTGGGACAATACACTACTTGTGTTTACAACAGACGTAAGTGAATGAAATCTTACCCACCAATTGTTCGGTATCCCATGTCGTCGCAGAAAGTACCGTAAACCAGCCTTAGTCATTTTATTATCTGTGTTTGTCTCGTTGATGTGTGTTTTGCACGGAATCAACCGTTGTTACATTTTCGAAGACGCATCGAATATGCCTGATAAGAATTCTTATCAATTCTGATTTATCGTAAATTGGAAACGTTGTTTTAGTCATGCACAACATATATTTCATTTGTTGGCATGACTCCGCAGTAATTGACAGGGCTACGCAGTTGCGCGTGCGCTGTGATATGCTGTCATTCAATCACAGGTTGCTGCGATTGGCGCAATCGAATTGCATTATGAATAGTAATACTTAAACAATGGCATACTATTAATACATTTATATGTACCGCTAAACTGTAACATGTTTGATATATAGTCTTATTACGCTAGTGATAAATGTTTGTTTGTTTTTTGAAATTTTCATTAGTTTGATCCTACCAACTGTGGTGAATTCTCTGTCCACACCCACTTTTCTCGTAGTATAAGATGTTTTCACATTTACGTTCACAGAATGGTGGTCCAGCAAATCCAAATAATGCAGGCAATAACTGGCCATTGCGTGGATCTAAGCTGACATTATGGGAGGGTGGTACGAGGGGAGTGGGGTTCGTCCATGGTAAAATGCTAGAAAAGAAAGGATACGTCAATAATGAGTGAGTACAACGTTCGGTATTTTAGTTTTCGATTCAGTCAGATACTATTGCATAATTTTAATTGAATTAATATTGCGCTATGAATATGATTTGTGGGAAACTACACTCGTTCAGTCAATGGTATAATGAAATATGTGAATGCTTGTGTTGTTAAGGTTTGCGTCAAATTCACTATTCTAATGCCCATTTGGGCTAATCGTTGTGGTACTAACATAATGTATCGTATGTGTATTAGTGTTTTTCATTATTCATTATTGTTTTGGATAAATCATAATCTAATGTATTCATCATCAACATGGGAATCAAACAACGAAACTACACCGCATCTATGCTGCGTCATGTCATGCTCTGGTGTAAATTTTTCCGCAGAATGATGCACGTGACCGATTGGTATCCCACATTATTACACATCGCAGGCGGCAAGGCAGGTAATGTGATACAGTATTGCATTTCATGTTAGATTTCGAACTTAAGGTGATTTGTGCCATTTATTCTGTCATTCTAGGCAAAACATCCGGTATTAATTTATTTTGTTATATTTTTATTTTCGGTCAAGCAATTATTATTATGTAAATTGATCAGTTTATGTTTATTTTGAAACCTTGCGAAACTGCCGAAAGTGCCAATTCGTGTTATATATTTGTATTGGTATATTGTATATATCATAATAACATTGTATTCATAGATTCGGACATGGATGGTTTGAATGTTTGGGACACGCTTAATAAAGGATACCCGTCGCCTCGCAAGGAGTTTATTTATAATATTGATGAAATAGAACCAACTGGAGCTGCTATCAGGTATCGATCGTTAATTGTAGTTTGTAGTATGAATAAATACCTATTTATAATAATGTGGCGTGTATTTTCATTAAAATCAGTTTTTTTATAGATTCATCTACAAACTACAAAATGATTAAGCCAAAATGACAAAACATTCCAGTTAAGATATAGATCCGGGTTCGTGGGCACTTGCGGGGCCTCTACTAAAAGTTGGACATACTAAAACGCGCTGAATTTATTTTGAAAAGTGCACAAATGCTTTTTTGCCGGACGCATAATTTATAAGCCGGAATATCTATATAATTTACTATTAATAACATTTTACGAAACAGTAGTCAGTCTGTTTATGTGAGAGTTTATAATGTGTTTTGTATTCTTGTAGCAATATGTCAACGTCAAACGTAATTAAACATACACAAGTTTGTGGCATCATTGTCTGAGAACAAACCATAATATTACACTGGATTGTATTGTGGAAATGTCAAAACAAAGTCTAATAAATATTTAAGTTTGAAACTTTCTTAAGTACTGATTTACGAAACATAGACAATTTAAGACATCAACAGGGGTAGAACGTGTTTAAAAATTATCTGTGACTCAAGCAGTCTCTAAAAGTTACTAAACATGTTACTTTAACAACATATACATCATCTGAAAGCTTAGGCGAATGCGGTAGTGCATACGCCATGTCAGTGTTTGTCGAAGAGATGGCCCGACGGCCAATTTCGCTTTTTATTATTCCGGGTATGGGAAAGACCGTTTTTAACAATTTCAGTCATGCGATTTTTGATATTTTTAAATTATGTTCTGCTTTTTAAATTATTTTATTATGTTCTGCTTGTGGTAGAGTTGCGAAGTTGAAGCCAACTCTAAATATAACAAAAAAACAATAACATAACTCCTCTCTTCACACATACTAGTGATTCTAACTACCTGATAATACGCTAACACCAGTGGTTGTAGTGCAATATTTTCCATTTGTAGACACCCTATGGTTAAAATAACGATGCATGTAAACAACTGTGGAGGCGCTTTTAGTTTACTCACCTATCGAGCTTTAAGAAAATGTGACAAGTAATGTCTAATCCAACTCACTTTCTTATGTGACTCTGTGTAAATGAGTTTTATGTTTGCATGACAGCCACATGTGTGTTTGTGTTTACAGAGTTGGTGATTATAAACTGATCGTTGGTAAAGCAGGTCATCCCGGTGAGTAATGATGTTTTTAATCGCTATTATATTCTACACTTGTATATGTGTCAGTCAGAGATTTGATGCTATCCTAGAAACGGACTAAGACAATATGCACTATCCCTACGACAGCTTAAGACAACAGTCGTCAGACTAACAATGGCATAATACAATAGGTGTCTTAGCTACCAACCAGGTGCTTCATACTTCATTTCCTCAATATGTCTACTCAACAACAGCCAAAAAAATAGGCATCGGAATTCAGAGTGAGTTTAGAGTGTGTGATTACACTGTATATATTTACAGATGGATGGATTCCCGCACCGACTATAGATGGCGTATGGGAAGAAATTTTGCCCATGAATGAATACGAGGGACTATTGGATGGGAGATTGTCTAAAGACAACGACACGTATTTGTTCAATATAAAAGGTACGCTAGAACAAACGGAGGTCTTAAGATCACATTGCTCCAAAAGTCGTAGTATTCCCGGCAGAGTGTTTGTTCCTAATCTAAATATGCATGCGATTCCATTGGCATTTACTTCAGCGGGAAATTTGTTTTTGAATTAATGCATTGACGAATCGTTTTACTTTATAACTGTGAATTTATTTATAGCTGATCCCACTGAGCGTAACAACCTAGCCGAGCAAATGCCGGAAAAAGTCGCCGAGCTATCCGCTAGGCTGGAAGAACTGAAACAAAAGTTGGTGCCTGCTATAAGACCCGCCCCAGACCCAAAAGGGTCCGATCCCCGTAAATTTGGAGGAGCTTGGTCTCCAGGATGGTGTTAGATCGACGTAAATGTGATAGAATGACGTTATGTTGACATGTATCTCAAAAATTCGAAGATGCGTTTCTTTTTAAGATGAGAACAAGTCAACTTTCACTTATTTTTAAACTTATATATTTCACAGTGACGATGGAATTTTACTCTGTTGTATATTTCTCTTTCGCAATTTCTAAAAGTAATTTCGTTTTTTGTAAATGTCGTATTGTTTAAATAGTTATACATAGCAAAGGGAAGAAACCAATAGTTGCGAACGTCCTGTGTGGTACTGCAATCACCAATTCAACTGGCAACATGGCATTTGAGTTCTTTCAATGAGATAACAACAGAGATTTTTAATACATTATTGTTTGTTTTATATTCACACCGGCGTTTATGCAATGCACTGTTTTTGGTGGCATATGAGTGAAATTATTTCGGTGACCATTCTGTTTTTGTGACGACATCTGCAAATCCTCTTTTTAATAATTTACACCGAGAGACGAATAAATGAACAGGACTTGCTATCAACTTATAACAGGGTATCTGTTAATTTGAGTAATATGGAAATTAGTGATATTTATTGTACACGTGTACGATATCTGGTATACACATTAAAAGTTATATATACAAATATATTATAAATGCATCTTCGCCAAGGTATAGTTCTCTTGTCAATTTGCAGTAACTTGTGGCACAATGGATTTGATACTCTGCAATTCGTGAACAGTGGTGGCGGTTCGAAACACATCAGACCTTCCTAACATGTGTTTTAAAGATTCTTCTCGAAAACTTTGAAGCACTTCAGAAGGCAAATGCACCAATGATACATTTGTGAATATGAAAGTAACTAAAATAATTTTCTTCAAAACGTTTATTTTTAAATACTTCAGAAAACAAGCACACATGTAAAGTTTAACCTAAAACACCCAACTATACATGTTTATGTAAAACACAAGTTCGTAAGACTAATAGATTCGTTTTCTTCATATATATTATTCTATTGGCGGGGCCTTGATTTTGAATTTCATCTAACATGGTGATTACTACACCCCAGTGCGAATTTATATATAATTTAAACGAACCCCTCTAAATCTCTAATAATACTATTATTTCGAAATATCAAAAATACAACTCAAAATAATATTTCACATCACTTATTTCTGATTCAAATATCGCATTGCCAGAAATGATAATGAATTAATTAACAATTATTGGGTATTGCTTTTTATAGTTGCTGTTTGTCTTTTTACTGTTTATGTATTCAGTAATAAATATTTACTTGATTATGTGATTTGTTTATTTTATGTTACGATTACTGATTCATTTGATAGATGTTGCCCTTGAACACATTCCAAAAAAAGTATTTCGGTTGCCGATAGTGTGTGTTGATAGTAGTGTTTTATAACCACGTTATTAGTGAAAACACATTCCAAAATGTGTCTCTGAAACAAGCACTCTTCAGTATTTCAATTGTGTTTTTCGTAAAAGCACTTTTCAAGGTGCTGTGATAATAAACACTATTCAATAAATACTTCTAGTGAAAACACTATTCAAAATGTATGTCTAGTGAAATCACTTTTCAAAGTGTTGAGATGTTGTGATAGTAATAAGTATTGTCATAACAGGAAGAGTGTAAACTGATTATCAGATAACTGACCTTCATGAGCCACTGATGTCTCAGCAGTGGTAAACACTTTATTAAAGTTGATACACTATTCCATGTGTCGAGTTTATGGACACTTTACAAAATGTGTGAAAGTACACATATAAAAGTGTTGTGATTAAGAACACTTTACATATGCAAAAACATTCCTGAAATGTTGCACTAAAAAAAACTCACAAATGCACTTTAAATGGTTATGCGGATTATGAATACTTTATGAATAGCGAGTGTAGGGACAAGCTCATAGACATTGCGAATGCTTTACCCCAAAACAGTAAAAATGTTTTAAATTTAAAGAGTAGTGTTGAAATATAACTCATTTGCGATTTTAAGAAACACACTTGGATGTTTAATTATTATGAAACAAATACAGAGGACAAAAATTGGGTCTAATTTTTAAACACTTGTATTTACAGTGTGCTTTTACTGATTTCCATGAATACTGTATATATTAACCCAGTTTACACGGCTTACAAATTAGCTAATCAATTCTTTAATATACTGTGGAGAAACATAGTGTTTTATGACACTTTCAAGACCAATCGTTAATGGAAATATTTCCATCTCGGCATCTGCACCCAGACTTCAAAGCGATGTTTAATTTCGAAATACACATATGAAAACTGAAAATGCGGGAAGCTTACAGCAATTCCAGGCACATATTTGACGCTGGAGTAGTGCTAGATGTTGATAACTTACTCGAATAGGATACAGACTTTGTTTGTGGCCAGCATTTTATAATTTACAATTGAAGTGATCAAATCATTAGAATAGCAGTGTGTATTATGGGATGTTTCTCAATGCTGGTCGGAACTGCAGTCTGAGTAAATTACAATACATACAATTACCTTGTACGCGGATGGTAACGGATTGATTTTCATAAATAGAAATTGAATTTATTGTTCATTCGTTTTTGTAAAGGGCAGCATGAGGTGAAATTACTTGACACTTATAAACGTACAAGTAATTTAATATTAATATAAATATATATATGAATTCTCGAAATTATTGAAATCTCCTTTTTTAGTGAAATATGTCATTGCTACTGCTATTGTGTGAGTACGGAGCATGGGTTCATACTATTAGTCCTATTGACTTGTAACAGAATATCATCTTTATTTCAAAGGGCATGCGCAGTAATCGTCGCGCTGCGTCGTATTCGATATGGATTTCATAGCGACGTATACAACGCAATTCGAAAACGCCATTAACCATTTGATTAAGGCAAACACTGTAAAGTTACATTTCGGTACTTTCCGTTTGTATCTTTGAGATCGGGGTTTGATAAATAAGTTTTCACCAGTCTAGATTTTAACGATATACTGATATCAGCCACACATAATTCATATTTGTAACAATGGACCAGCTACACCTAAATGATTAAGAATATATATTGAAGAATAGAGAAAATAGAACGATATCGATTATCAAGATTGGAGACAGTTCTTTCTATTTACCACTTTAGGGAAAACAAACTGGCTTGCAGGAATGTGCGTTTCTCAAGTTATTAAAACATTCCCCCAAATAGGAACTAAAGAATTCCAGTAGCCGATACAATGTGATATATGCAAATCAATAAATTATAAATATAATTTTGTCAATATATAATGTTGAGAGACTTTTTCATTCACACTGTAAACTCACACTTTACATGCACAGAGTGATAGAAGTAGTGATGTTCATTAGAGTGATTCGAAATTTAATATATTACTTATACATTACATAATAACACTTACAAGTCACTCTACATTTTAAACACCCAAATTGGTGAGAGCAATGTGGCGATATTGTTGGTACCACTGAGTATGTATTAACCATGCTATATGAATAAAATAATATTGGAGATCAAAATGTTAAACACCGGTGCTATGGATTAAAATACTTCACTAAATCGAAAGTATCTAACTGAAACATGCATTCGTCCACAGTTAATTGCATCCAAATATATATACCTCCCTTAAAATAACATATTATACGTAAAATTTTGTAATGAGACCAATATTGGACGACATCGTAAGTATTCAAAACTTATGGATATGATTTCCAAATATCCGAGGAGCAGCAACGTTCTTGCTATAACAAGAGTGGACTTCAAAAGCACAGAGACGGTAATAACGGTTATCAATATTATTGAAGCCTATTATAATGGCATATTATATTGTTGGTTGCCATGGATACCATTCGAGCTTGATGACGTCACGATTAGTGATGATGTGGATAAGCTACAATAAACAGTGTCAAATATAGTTGTTAGTGGCGTGAGAGTCATTGCTTTCTAAAGATCATTATATAAACTATACCCAATGTATGCATCAACAGGAAAAACATTATGCCGAAGTTACAACAGTGTTACGATGGCTGCATTAAGATCAAATACGTAAGATTATATTTACCTGTGTGGTGGGGATATCCCGTGTGGGGATGCGGTGGCGGTGTGTGGTGATGCTGTAACAGTAAATCATTCACAAATTAAGCCTGGAAGTCTGGAAAATAAATCTTTACGATACGTAATCTTCAGGTAATTATTATGTTTAAAACTGCTGGTTTGAATTTTCGGCAAGTAATGAAATCGTGTCTGAATGGAGGTTCAGTACTAAGTTTAGTAGACAAAACAATATTATATAACATTCCTACTGAGTGTTTTTCTCTTCGACGCCTTGGGCCCACCAAAGGGGTCAATGAATAGTAGAATTATATACATGTACTTACATGTACGACAGTCACATGTCCGTGTGGATGCGGATTGTGGACATGTGAATTGTGAGCGGGGGCATGGGGGTAGTGATGTGGTCCGTTGTGGTGATGAGGCTCCGGATAGTGATGTACTGGTCCAGGGTGATGGGGTGGATGGTGACTTGCATGTATTGCGTCGGCCTTGGCATGGTGCGCATCAGCTCGATTTCCTGCCGCCCTTGAACGGGACTGGAACGGAAAACATGACCAACTGTAAAATCGGTTGCATAAGACAACAAATATGTCTGTCACAATGATCACACGAAAAACAAACGAGTAAGTAAGTAAGGAGTAAAATTAGATTGCAGCTAAAATGGAGTAGGGAAACATTAATTTATCTTTACTGGTCGGGCTATCTAGGTCGAAATTCGTCGAGGTGCTAATTCTCGGTTCTTTATTGAGAGTGTACTATGAAGAATCATTGCGGATTGTCGTTATTATTACCCGTAATTACACTGGACAATATTACTGTCAGTAAGCGGACATGCGTATGTCTTGTCTTCGATGGCGGCGCTTCACAAGCAGAGCTCAGTGTTACGAACTTACTTCTAGATTGGCTGCTGCAAGGACATTGCCATGTAGTGCTTGATTGACAGCCTTTCCGTGAAGTCTATTTTCTCGCCGTTCAGCTTTGTTCTCAGCCTTAAATGGAAAATAACAATGAAATCTTAGTTACTTTTTCTCTACTATAGGCCACATCATAGCAGTTATAGTTATATAGTCATAGTTTTCTGAAATGAACACATCATGGGCTAACTGGGATATCATTGTTACAAATACATTGACTGCTGAGATTGGCCGTCAATAGATTGTTAACGTGAATGGTGCGCCCTCACTGGCAGAAGGTGGCTGTGTTACTATGCCGCTGCCTGATATTTGTCAGTATATCGCTTCTCGGAGCAAAATAAATATAGTCTAAATAGTGACAATTTCTAATATGCAAAAATACTATTATATGAATAAAGGTGTAAATGAGTTTAACCTAAGTAATATTTTTTTAAATACGATAGTATAAGGAAGTGCATACTTTATTGAGTAACAATATGTAGAGATCTAAAATATTTGTCGATTTTTTTTTATTTTTTGTAATGTAACTGTAATCTCCCACGTACACACCTAAAAAATAGTCACTGCCCCTTCGAATATATGGCACATGTGACGATATGCTGACAATGCGCTATCGTGGTAGTAGGCGGTTCCCGGGGCGTATACAGTTCATATCAAGGCCAATGCAAAGCCCTTATATTGTACGAGCGTAGCGTGGGTGTCTTGAATGGGTCAACTATAATCGTTGGAGAATTGCCAAGTTTATCCACAGATACGACGTGTATAACCATCGAGATATTGTCGCCCCATCAAACACCGCAATATTCGATGATTTCTTCATACACGAGGGGGGTGGGCGCCGAAAATATTCAGATGTTTGATAAATGCCATCTGTGTACGTTTTCGTTCCATTCCACATTCTAAATGTGAAAGCGTACCTTGTCAGTCATGTCTAAATTCACCAAATGGACACCATTATCAGATTTAACATCCGCCATTTCGGCAGCTAGTACAATTACTAGTAGTCGAGCGAAATTCACGACAACCATGGTACAAATTGAATAACCAATGACCACGTAATGGTTACGGCACATAACCACTTACTTAGCGCTCGTGGTTATATGCCGTGACCGTCATGAGAGCATGAGTTATCTATTACATAACCAGGGATATGTTTTCTGTGTTCTCTCAGCAGCTGTCACGGACACGGAATTGAGCTTCGTAGTAATTTTATTTTTTGCTTTGCGCAGTCAACAAAAAATGCACGGCGGTATTACATTACCTGGCGGGGATTTGACAAACATAAATAAGTTTTTCTTATAATATATTAGGCATATTATGTAGTAACATGCAAATAATAAAAAACACAAACAAATAATTGAATCGAATTTTGTGAGGTTGTTGTCTTAAAAAAGGGTGTGTCGGGGAAAATTATTGAAAATCTAATTAACTATACTAAGAAGATGATGACTCTGTCTTGGCTTTTGTTTTCGTATTCTGCGATATACAAAATTAAAACAAAGATGTTGATTCTTAAAACCATAAAATGTTACGACCATGTACATAAGAATAGAGCTCTATTTTCACCACGCTATGAGTGTGGTGTTCACGGCCGTGAAGACGTTTACATGAACCATGTAGGTAAATTTCCTCCCTACATGAATATTTGTCATTTACGCGACGAGACTAACCTGTCTGTGGTGGCGTTCCTCCTTTCTTAAATGTTGGTTGCAATGGCTCATATTTTAGCGATATTTTGCAATACGACGAGCAAATTTATCAACGTTAACGTAGAACGTTAGCCAAGTGTGGTTTATTGCTTCGTTGGATAACAAGCAACTGTGCTATGGAACCAGTGTACGCCTGTTTTATGCAACAGCTGACTGATCATGCCAGTCACGGGACTCTGCATGTGCTGTGTAGTCACCGAGCTAATTTAAGCAGTTATCATAAGGAACAGTACATTATGTTGCGGGGTAGCTAGGGTACGCCTCGATGCAGATTATATTTTCCTTATGCAAAATACAAATTCACAGGGGAACTTATTTTGTCCGTATATCTCTTCATTTAAATTACATTCCACCCAATTCCAGTCTCCCTGTCCTTTCCAAAAAAATAGCCATGGTGACCCGCCCTATGCATCGTGTAAGCCGTGTTTATGATAGATGATCAGTCAACTGATAATATGTCATGACTGTCACTATTCAAAGATAACACTAAACAATCCCCGAAGCTCACTACATATTTCATGTCAGGCAATTCTAAAAAAATTCAATAAAAAATATGCAGACTGCTAAGTATATCAAATTGATTTACATGAATTATATTTTACTAATTACAGTAGTATGAATTAATCCCTCGGTGAATAAACCAGGTTGTTGTACAGAGGATATCTTATGAGTGACCTTACATTATCATATTTATTAAGCGAGAAACATTTTCAGTTCGAGCCTTTGGGGACGCCGGAAGCCAGCGAACATACATGTAGTAGTAGAGGAGAATGGCACGAGAGGGCGCTGTCCTATCTGGACAAATGGAGCCGGGAACAGTTACTGGTGGCGCTGTACACAATCGAACTACGCTCATCAGGCTCATGCAGATTTAGTGTAAAGGCCAGAAACACTTGTTAAATTTGGTGATCAGTTTAGTATGATAGAAAGCGTGTACAATCTTCAAATTGCCACAATAGACAGAGTGGAGGTCAAGACCGAATATACGTGATTCCGGCTTTCATAATAAATGCCTTCTAATAATAATTTCACTTTCAAGTGATATTAATGAGATATGTTTACGTCACAGCCCCGTTAAAAGTTGTTTGCATATTGTGCACGCAGTGCGTATACTTCGGTCTCTTTTGTAGTATTCCAGTGTGTGACGTTCAGCACCGTCACTGAGGTTTGTCAATCAAACCACATTGATGGTTCTGAAAATTGTGTCCGTATTCGAAGCCCACACATAAGCGAAGATGCCATATATATATATACACAAGCTAACAAGTCACACCAACCCAGCGACTGGTCAGGTAGCAAAATATTTGTACACACTCCCATCATGTCATACTCTTTAATATGCAATTACAATTCTGGGTCCCCAATAGCCCTGGATGGAAGTCAGTCGTACCATGGATCAGGTGCTGTCAACGAGTAAATTTGCAAAAATGTTTGATATTTATGTTTGATCAACAGTCACCTAATTTATGAACATTATTAAGGCTTAATTTAATTTGGAGGGGAGAGGTCAATCTGTTCGCAACTCCCCTCCCTCTCAACCAAATTAAATTGCCCTCCCAATGTTTTTTTCTCCCACTGCCCTCTCCCCACTCAGTTTTTGTTCCCCGCTGCCTTCTCCCCACTCAATTTTACTACCCACTGCCCTCTGCCCACTCAGTTTGTTGCCTGCCCTCTGGACGCGCAGTTGTATCTACTCTCTCCCACCCAGTTCATACTATCTTAATTCTCCCCTCTCAACAGTTTCTGCTACCTTCTCATTATTATTTCCCAAAGAAGTTAAAGTCTTGATTGGTCACCAGCTCCAATCCTTAAACCCATGTGCATTAAACGTTTTTGTTTTGTTTTTTATATAGCAGGAAAATTTAATGGTAATATAATACCTGTACTGCACCTGTACATGGTTCCATGATAGATTGAGCATCGAACAGCTTCTCACTTTACGCATAAACTAAGTAACCAAATACAATGTTTGTACAGCTTAGAATCGCTTGGCTGGCAGGATTTTACGTAACTGCATGAAGTTGTAAATACTAGTAGATAGTTAGAATACATAGCTGGGCTGACTTGGCATCTGTTTATCATCATTTAACGAGAAATGCGACACAATTCGAATAATCAGTGAATGCTGCATAAACTCATTAAATGTGTGTTTTCAGCGCATTTTTAACAGTATATACCAGCTCTTTAGTCTGACCGAATCCGGTACAAAGTGTACACCCTCAGGTTGTCCGTAGTTGTTACACATTGATATTACTACCAATGCTTGATCAAAATCAATTGAGTGTAAATATATAATTGAGTAGTAGGACATGATTGAGAATACTAGCTCCTCTACAAGCAACGTGATAAAATTATACATACATGATAATATTAGACCTTATGACACACATTGATATTACTAGTATATTGATCATTAAGATTACGTGCATTAAATTATTTAAATTAATTGTTACAAAAGAAGTGCGTATAACCCCTCCCGCTATATTAAAGCGCTGCTTATTTTTCATATACGAACCGTGACGCCAGTGCTAAAATCTTGCTAAAAAGGGTATGCATATAGGAAAACCCTAGAAGGATTAATTTAATCAGACTGCCCTCTCCAAAGAACTAACATGCACTGGACTACAAAATACAGGCATTGTTTGCGAAGATTGTCATCGGCGTTCAGTCAAATTGATCACGTGCTAAGTGCCGCAAATGAAACGGCACAGTCTGCTTCGGGCGGATATTATCATGCAGTTTGCGCCATTAGACTACTCTTCTTTGGCCAGTCTAAACACCCCCCCCCCCTTTGGCAATTTGGTAGTGATACCCGCGGAAAATTCTACATTTTGCCCTTACCCGCTCAATCTAAAAATGGAACTTGCCTGCCTTCTGAATAAAAATCTTCTCCTACTGGAATTCCCCTCTGAGAAACCCTATTTTCAATGCCCTCCCACTGAAGATGTTTTATTTTGCCTGCCCACTAAAAATCCCTTGCGAACACACCTGATGGATGTTGATCGTATGTTGGCCATCGTCGAAACAAAGTCTTATTTTACAGACAGGTGATGTTACCCTAGGGATTGTTTCTCAGAAAAAAGCTGAAAATGAAACTTAGAAAATCGCATATAAATTTACAGTACATTACCAATTATCACTGGTAAAATTTATTGAAATCATCGTCACAGTTTTGAGTAAATAGTATTAGAGTGAAATATCAACGTGCCTTTGCATTCTCCGTGAATTCAGTAAACCTGGTGTTACTTTAAACATTTTACGAGAACTAGCAATAGATTTGGTGAAAAATAAGTAGTAAAATTTCAACTCGGAAAATGCTCCTGAAAGCTAAACTATATATTATTTGACCATCTATGACGTATTCATAAATACTTTATATGTATATATATACACTAAGCAACTGCTAAGTAATATGAATAAATTGGCCATGTGGACGCCTGGCGCCAGGAAAAAAAAGACATATATATATATATATATATATATATATATATATATATATATATATATATGGACTTGTATATGTGGTGGTTAGTAAAATCCCAATGGCAAAGTTGAAATTTATACACGATCAATGATAGGGATTCCCTCTAATGGCATATCCGAGAAATAAAAACGTCAAACTGCTAGCGGGCGTACTTCATCATTTTATTTCAGAACTTGGTCTATTGTTGTACGTGTATTGTATTACGATGCTGCCGGGAATTAGAGCAAAGAAGTACTTGATACGGGCACATAAAGGAAGTACATTATCAAATGTCACGTTTTATATACCCAAAGTAAATAGTCATTTTTTAAACGTGTTCTTTATGAAAACAAAATTGTTATTATTAACATAATGGAGCAATATTGGGTTGTAATAAGACCATGTAACATATGCAGTAACACCACTTTAATAATTTTGATAATATTTACATGACATGACGAAGTTGGAGAAATGAGAATACAGTTGTCTGGCAAATATTTTGGAGTAAACACAATGAAATTGAAGGATGGAGTAGAAATCATTGCAGCATTCCAAACTGCCCTAAAACAGCTGGGACAGAAATCTATTTAACTTTTGGTTAGCTAGACATCTTTGATGAGCATTGCATTAGTCCAGCAACACTACCTCAACATCCCTGCTCCACTCCACTCTCCCCAAGAAACAATGGTTCGACTTTATTTGTACAAGAGCTTCCACAACTGTGGTGGTACATGTACCACAGAAAGTAGCATCATGTATGTAGTGGAGTTAAAACATATACATGTATACATGTAGAAGGCAGAATTTGATATTAATACTTTAAAAATAAACCTATCAACAAGCTGCTCTCTGATTAGTCTAATAGTTAGGTGTTGGGGTTAATTAGCCAATCAGACACAATCTTGTAAGTAGCTTCCCATGGAATCAAATCATGTGGATTTTACACCTGTTTTACACCTATATGCTGCATCACAAATAAGTATTCATATTTGATTGTAGACCACTCATAAATTAAACATCACAACCATAACAACTTTGCACATCACAACCATAACAACTTTGCACTGCAATTCAAATGTTTTCATATGTCCACTTCTATCAAACACTTAGTATACCTATCCTGTTAGCAGCATACTGTAAATCGCTTTAATAAGTGAAAATCAGTGAAAAACATGACATTTAGTAGCAGTTAAAATTTTTCTGGGATCCCAATAACACCCCATCAGCATGTGGTTCATAATTCCATGGCTATATAATGCACCATATGTTTGTATAGATAAATGTATGACAGGATAATAACACGCCTACAATAAAGCATTTCAGCAATTACGACATGGCTCATCATAAGCTCATGGCTCATCGTAAGCATGCATGATAGGAAACAATCGCATTTTCTGGCTTGATATGTATTTTAGCATTATGGTGTACAGACTCGTGTTTAAGTCGACAGCATGGTAGCACATGGTGGGATAATTTCTGGAATATCTATAATGTGACCATCTTTTCTATAATGTGTACATTACATACAATGCACTATCACACCAGCTGGAACACAAGAACATCAGATTGATATAATTGGGTTCCTATCATACATGCATTATAGCTTTTGGTCATGAGCAGACTGCATATATGCAATTATGAGGTGAAACTACAAACACTACTACCAGGTGACAAAAAATAGTTATGACGTAAGAAAACAATGTATTTATTGACTTTGACCAAAGATTCTAAGACATACAAAGATCACGTTGGTTATTTAAACATGAAAATAAACAAGCAATTCAAAAATAGAAACCGAAAGGGGAAGATGAAAGGAAACAACAAAGGAAACAAAGTAGTTGTTCCCCAGTCAATTATAACTTATTGGTAGCTTAATTCAACATCATGTTAAAGTATAATGGCTGAATCACTTTTGTAAAGAATGAGGAAAGTTGTGGATTGGGAAATTTTTAGGTGACTTAAAGTTTTCTCTATGAAATTGTCAGCAACCTGAATTATCATCCATTCAACTGTTCAGTCAGTTAGCAAGATGGCTTACAACTTCGCAAAACACTACAGTTTTTGTTCAGTCTAGACTTATCAGAACTGTCTTATTGATATGTGCACAGTTTAGATCATTCCATTTTCATACTAGATAATGGTAAAGCACAGGTTTTTTTTTAAATGGTGCACGTTCATTTGAATACATGAATACATCACCCAATGAAATAATGAATCTTACACAGATTGCCAGCTGGCAAGCAGCGCCATTAAGTCTAGAACAAAGCAAAAGCAAGTGTTGCAAGCCATCTTGCAAGCGAACTCTCTGTCCAAATAATTCTCAGAATTGCTGTAATCTTTCAAGCATAACAAGTTGTATCTTTTGGATGGTAGTACTGAGCACAACCTTGAATGTAAATAACATTCTTTCAGTCATATGCAACAATTAATATTGCTAACAAAATGTATGTCACAATTCCAATTCATTTTCAGGTTCAAGTAAACACACTGACTGTGTGACAGCTGTTACAATAAACTTGGTTATAGAACCACTATAAATATTAAACACTATGAATTTTGGTGCGATACTATGACTTGTCACTGTGTCACAGTGATAAGATACGAATCAGGGATTTTATTAGACAAACAAACCTAACAATAACAGCCAAACTTTTGATCTGATTCTAGGGACAAACCCTGAACAATCAAACTTGCATTCAAATAATGATTGTAGATAGCCACACTTAAATTGGGCCATTCCAGTTTATATCTGCACCCCCCTTGTTGATGAGGTCAGATTTCCAGGCACTGTATGATGGGGGAAAATACCCCGGAATT